TAAATAGTAGGAATTAAAAAAAAAAAATCATAATTCTAGTGTAAACGATGTAATCATGACCTCCCTCTAGAAGTTAGCTTTCTTACAAATATCTGGTGTTCCTTTAAAAAGCTTAAGTACAGGGTGAAACATGAATTACCTGCCAATAATAGCTGAACATTAGATGACTGTAACATGTAGAATACTTAATACTTTGTACACTATACAATCGGTGTCTTTAGAGAGCCAACCCCTATTTTATGTGCAAGCAAAAGTACCCATCCCCAGTGACGGGAAAGTTTAAGTTAATATATCAATTTAAATTATTTCATGGACTTTAAAGACGTTAATTGTCTTGCACTCTTGGTTTCACTTGGAGCCAAAGCTACTTATATCGCCCACCGCGAAATGTAATTATTGAGCATTTCAGTCATGCTAAGAACCGCACAACAATAACACACGGTAAACCTACATTTTCGTTCTTTAAGTTGCGTCACATTTTGAAATGTGAATGATAGTGAGATTAATTCCTAACAATGTAGAATATCCATGTTGTGAAATAAAATTTGTTATCAACATTATTCATGCTTGTTCCTCTCGTCATTTCAAAACTGAATGTTGAGCTTTGCCTCCTTGCGTGGCTCTTCAAACGAACACTCGGACAAACACCACGGTTCTCAATATATATAAGATAAAGCGAAGGAGTAAAAAAAAATCAATACACAAAATATTAAATTTTATTACACACATTCATAGAATACACTAACTTTCATTGGGGGGAAAACGTCACAAAGTAAGTAATGAAAACAAATTGTAAATGTAAAATGATGTAGGGATGTTAGTGCCAAAAAGAATACAAACAAGAATATAGAGATGATACAGCTGTACATTGATCATCCTTACATGACTTTGGATATTGTGAAGTTGTTTTTGTTGTTGTTGCTGTTAGGGTGCTCGACTCACAATCTGAGGGTCGCGGGTTTGAATCCCCGTCACACTAAACATGCTCGCCCTTTCAGCCATGGGTGCGTTATAATGTGACGATCAATCCCACTATTCCTTGGTAAAAGAGTAGCCCAAGAGTTGATGGTGGGTGGTGATGACTAGCTGCCTTCCCTCTAGTCTTACACTGCTAAATTAGGGACGGCTAGCGCAGCTAGCCCTCGTGTAGCTTAGCGCGAAATTCAAAACAAACAAACAAACTTACTTATTGCGGTTTACCTGTTACATTGTATTGTGTAATCTGATGATGCTGATTATAACATTAACACCATTAAGTAAGTTCGAATAATAATAATTTATGATGTTTTTTTTGTTGTTGTTGCTGTTGTTTTTTACTGCTTTTATTTCTACGGATTTGAATAAGTTACAAAGTACTGCGAGCTTTAGCTATAACCAAAACATCATGACCGGGATAAAAAAAATAATGTAAATGTTAAGTCAAAATTTAATAGATACCGTCAAAATATACTATAAACACAAACAAACCACATACTGGATTCGCTCGTACCTTATATGATATTGTACAACAATAGATACCCTCAAAATATACTATAAACACAAACAAACCACATATTGGATTCACTCGTACCTTATATGATATTGTACAACAATAGATACCCTCAAAATATACTATAAATACAAACAAACCACATATTGGATTCGCTCGTTCCTTATATGATATTGTACAACAATAGATA